CCTCCCCCACCCCCCCAGCCAAGCACATGGAGCGTTTCTGTCTGGCACAAACTGTCACCAGCTGCACACACACACTGACACAGGACCCTGGGAGCCCCCCGTCTCCTCTCTGCCGAAGGTCAAACACAAAAGTTTTGATGAGTGTCCCCAGACCTCTGGCTGCCGGGGCCATCCTGAGAGAGCCACAGGGCCTCCCCCGGCCAGAGCTGGCTGCCATCCCCCATCGACAGTGTCCCCAGCTGTCTCTCCGGACCAAGGCAGGCAGCTGTCCAGACCAGCAGGGCCGGGCCCTGGGTCTTCTCCCCTTGCCTGACCTGCAGCTGGCTTAATGGGGGACTCAGGGCCTGCTTCACATTCCCTTCCTCTGGTGACCCTGCACAGCCCCCAGGACACCAAGTTCTGCTTGTCCCTGAGGTCCCCCTCACCACCGTTACAGGAGGGAGGCACAGGCACCCCAGCCAAGATGAGCAGAGTGGCCTCGGTCACAATCTAGGGCAAATGGAAATGTACTCTGATTTTTTAAGTATTAAATGTCTCTTTCTACAGTCTCTTGCCTGGTTGTGGTGCAGGGCGGGGCCTTCCCGAGGGGATCCCTGGTCAGGGTGGGGCCTGTGCAGCCACCCACCCCCGCTCTCCACCCAGAGCCTACTCCCAGTGTGGGCACTGGCCCCACAGTGAGCCAGGAGGGGTGGCCATCATTTACCCAGTCACCAAGGTGGGAAATTATGTCCCTAAGCCACTCCTTCCCATAGCCACAGCCCCAAGCAGGGGCAGGGCTGAGGTCGGACCCAGACTGGCCACACGTGGCTGCCCAAAGATGAGTGCTGGCGGACCCCCACCCCAGGGTGACACGTGCCTGGGCTGCTCGCTTCTCTTTATTATCTGAGCCTGCCATCATGCAACCCGGTCACACAGAGTGGAGTGGCAGCCCCTGACCCATTCCAGTTCCCCGGGCCGGTGGCTTCAGCTCCCTTGCTTGAGGACGCTGTAGACCTGCTCCAGCACGTGGCACAGGCCCTGGTCCTTGGGTGTCCTGCTGGCCAGGGAGATCTGAAACAAGGAGGACTGGCGTTTCAGAACTGCTCGGAGGTCCCGGCCTGGCCCCACCCCCACTCCTGCCCCCCAAGGCCCAAGTGCTGCTGCCCGAAGGGGCTGGCCTAACCGAGGTACAGGCGACATTCCTAAAGCGATGCTTTTTAACAAGGAGCACGTTAACCAAAGGCCCAGCTGACTAATTGTGTGGAGTGGGGGGGCGGGGGGGGGGCCCGCACTTTCCAAACCTGCCGTCACCAGAACCTGGATCCCACACACACAGGCCAGGGGCCACCCAGCTCTAGGGCCTCCAAAGGCAGCAGACGGCCACCGCCACCCAGTGCCAGAGTTGGACATGACCAAGGACAACTTTAAGCCCTGGTCACTGTTTTTAAGTTTGAATGAAACAAGCAAGTGTGTAAAACCGCGTTTCTCTGCACAAGAGAGTTGAGTATGTCTTCTGAGAATGACTTTCAGGCAAGAAATAAGACACTGGGGAGGGCGCCAGGCCTCATAAATGTCCCAATACTGTGGGGCCAGCGAGCACGTTCGCAACACCAGTGGCTCCTAAGGCTGTAAACTAGGTCTGAACCCCTCCCCCACTCCGTGGGCAAATGAAACAACGTCTGTGGGGCTTTCACATTTTCATGCGCATTTGGATGATTTTCCCGCCCCACCCCTGTGTGATAAATCAGGCTTTGGCAGCGTTAGTTTCCAGCTGAAATACTTTTGTACAAAACAAGTTAGGAAATCGCTGCTTCCCAGACTGCTCATGATAGATTCTTAGGGGCTCCCCAAGAACCATCTTCCTCCAGGAGGGGTTCGCATGGACTTGGGGCAGGAGTCGTACCTTCAGCTTGTCCAGGTAGGTGTGCTCCTGATTCCAGGGCTCCTGGAACCTCACGAGGTCAGGGGCACCCTTGTAGAACTCCACCAGCAGCATCTAGAGGACCGGGCATTGGTGAGACCCTCTCCCTCCCCGCTGCCCGCACCAAGCACTGGGGATGCAGGCCGGGTGCAGCACGACCCGGTACCACTCACCAAAGACCAGGAGAAAAGGGAGCTCAGCGGATGCCCTGGGAGAGGACAACGCACCCCGACCCGAGGCCAAGGGGGGCCACCGAACGTGATTCTCCACGCACCAGGCCTGACATCACCCCCTGCTTTAGCCTCATCCTAGTAATGCTCGTGAAATCACGGTGTAACGCACTAGCTGTTTTTCAAATGCCTGTTGAACCATTGGCATTAAAAAACGTCAGGGTAAGGCCTGCAGCCCTCCGTGCGCCTCCACTCGGAGAAACAGCGGCAGGTGTAGAGGCCCACGGTGTCCCAGAACAGCTAGGGGCAGGTGGGTGCGCGGGGTGAGGGAGGGGCCGCAGCTAGGACCTGGGGCGGGATCCTCAGAGCCACAGGTGTGGCACACTCAGCCATGCCTTCCTGAGTCCTACTATGTCCTGTAAGTCCCGCTGGGCGCTTTCCGCCCCACCCACCCCTCCACAGGGGGCGCCCATACCCACCCAGGAGTGAGCTCACCATCTCATGAAGGATGTCGTTAGTCAGGAAGTTGTCCTGGACGTAAGCCATCTCCACGTCCATGGGGATGCCGTAGTCACTTGGCCTTTGCTGGCAGGAATACCAGCTGGTCACCACTGGTCACCCTAAGTCCCCCATCCCATGACAGCAGGGGCCAGTGCACTAGTGGCCGGTCCACGGCCCGCACGCAGGGCCCTTGGCCTCCCCCGGCAGCGCCCCCTACCTCCGGCGGCGGCATCACCCAGAAGGGTGAGATCTTGGACTCCGGGCCCGGGTTGCCAGAGTAGTACGGGGCTGCCGAGGAGAGAAAGCGGGTGGGCCTGGGGGGCTCCGTAACGCAGGAGACACGCAGGAGACGCGCATGCGCCCCCGGCCCGGGACTCACAGCACAGCAGGGCGAGGCAGGGCTGGAAGCCGTTGCTGGAGCCCTGCAGCCGGAGCTGGTAGTCCATCTGCACGTCGATGTCCTGAAGCGATGGCAGTGCCGGGCCGTGCGGGTGGCTGTGGTACCAGCCCACCAGGGACAGGCCCCGCAGCAGCAGGCTCTGGTAGATCTGGGGCAGAAGGGCAGCTGGGCGTGCGGCCGGGGCTCACACACACTCGCTCGCACACTTGCTGAGCATCGCTCTCTGCTGGCGGCCGGGACGCGGGAGCCAGGATAGCTGTGTCGACCCCAGCCCTCCCCAGAAGGCCCCGTCCGGCGTGCCCCCTCACCTCCTCCTCCATGGTGGCTGCAGTGTCTGCATCCCCCAGCCGGCTGCGACAGGGGAAGGCTCGCAGCACCGTGAGCACTGCACAGAGGCGGGGACAAGGCGTGGACATTGAGCCCCCATCCCAAACAGCGCCCTCCCCACAGGGCTGCAGATACCCACTCTGGCTGTTAATGTCCCAGCGGCCTCCCAGGTATCCCACGACCTCGCTGCGAGTCAGGTGACTGTGGAAGTCCTGGGGAGGAGGGACATGGCTTCACTCGTGCTCAGGCTTCACTCAGCCCCAACGCCATCCTGGGGGCCAGGGCGCTTGTGACATGCAGGGGGTCAGCCTGCCCCATTCCTTCATTCAAACGTTGATTGAGCACGCACTGTTTACCAATAGTGAACAAAGCAGACAAGGCCCCTCCCACACCAAGTTCACATCCCAGGGCACCCCTCCCTCCCAGGTACTCCAGCACCCTGCCCTGGTCTGGGGGAGGGAGGGCTCTGGCCCCCAAGAGACAAAGCGGGAGCCGGGCACCCACCAGCAGGAACAGCACGTTGCTGGAGATGGCCACGTTGAACGGCTGGAACTTGTTGATGGCTGCAAAGGATGTTACTTCCACCAGGGTGTGGGGGTTCCTGTAGGAGCCAGAGGGTCCCCTGTTTCAGAAACCCCCAAGCTGCCTCCTCAGCACCCTCCCCAGCCAGCTCTGAGAATCTGAGGCCTCGCGTCCCCTCTACCCCTGCTCTTGCTCCCCCCAGGCTGGCAAGAGGTCCTGCAGGCCGGGAGAGGCGCGGGGGCATGGGGCGTATCTGACCTGGCGGAGTCGCGACTGCCCAGTACGCAATACCGCACTGGCACCCGGATCTTGCTTTCCGCCCGCTTCCCCGGGGGCGTGGCCTCTGCGAGGCGGAGGTAAGGAAAAAAGGTAGCGTCAGTCCCCAGAAAAACTCCGGAAGCAGCCTTAAAAAGAAGTCACCGGGACTGGGAAATCAGGCGGAGGGGGCGACAAGTCGGACAGAGAATTCAAAATCAGATGAAAGGCTCAGGAAATCAGGGGGTGGAGGAGGGGCAATCGGGCATCAGGATTAGAAATCAGGCAACAGAGCAAAGAAATCCTGTTGGGGGAACAAGGAGGTCAGGCGACATGGTGAAGACCCCTGGCAGCCCATGAAGAAGTCGGGCAGTGAAAGTGAAGTTA